TATCTCATAATTATGACTTAGAAGCGTGCTTAACGTTATATCTCGTTGAATTGGGCATAAGGATTATTTACCATGTTGAACTTTCTTATTGAGTCGTAGTCATATACTTTCTTATTGACTTATGATCTGGTGGTTACATAGGTTAACTTACTCATGATAAATATTATAACTTGACTTTGAATGTTGAAATAGCTTATTGAATTGTTGTGACAAATTAAATTACATAATTAGCTATAGCCATCTTTTAGCCATATGAGCTTTCATTCGTATCATTATTGTTATGTCTGGTGTTTCTTTATTATACTATTTCAAACACACATGCATGAGTTGAAGAATTGAATATTGTGAAAGTTGAGGATTTTGGCACTACGGACACCATGAGCGGATAATGATTATTTTTTATTGATCATTGATTGATAAATGATTCCTAGGTATGGATCCATCACTCCGGAGTCGGGTGATTACCCATAGTACTTTGGATCCTTTGAGCGTAGGCGCTAACATTTGGTGCTTGGTTTGGACACGTAGCCTGTGTCAGGCATATGGATTTGTGCTTTGAGATATTGACAATGGATCTTGAGCATGCATTTATATATTTTTTGGACTCATGTAGTAGCTTTTATAATGTTGTTGGTTGATATACATCATGTCTTTGTGTGGGAATTAAAATAGTTGATATCTAATTTGAATTCTTATTCTGCAAAGTATGTCTGAATTCTACAAGTACGGTATTTCTGGATTTCGTACCTATTTGATAATATCACATTTTGTACCCAGAATATGTTCCACCTGATTATTTGACTAATAGTAAATCGATATCGACCCCTCCCCACTATTTCTTCAAGGCTAGACTTGATACTTGATGAGTACCGTGGTTTTGTACTCATATTACTCTTATGCATAATTTGTGCAGCATTTGAGGCAGGTATTGGAGGTACCCATTAGGACGAGTATGAATATTAGTTGGAGACTTCGTGGTGAGCTATTTTACTTGATCTGATCCGTAGCACATGCAGTCCCTCCCTACTTATCTATCTGTGTCTATGTATTTTCTTCTAGACAGATGTTATTCACTTGAGTCTACTTACTCTTATTAGATGCTCGTGGTAATGTGACACTAAGTTCTGTGCATTGTTAGACAATTGTGATAGGTTTTCACATATCCGACCCCCAACTTAAAAGCATGCATTGTCTCGAACGCATGTAATCGAAAGATAGAGGTAAGGGACTCCCTGTGATGCATCAATGCTATTGATGTTGCAGAGAGCTAAGTGGTCTTTTTTTACCGCCACTAGGAATGTGATTTTCTCGTTTTGGCACAAAAAACTCTAGAAATGTTAGCATCTTGTGCCACATCCATTAACTCTCTTTTTGGCATGGCTAGCCCTACTACCGTATCATTTCCCGAGCACAATGTCGGTAAGTGATTGAAATGAGTCCAAATGGCACAAATTTCACTTTTCCTTGATTTGTCACATTCTCTATACATCATGGGCTAGAGTGAAGCTCCAAAATATCGTCAAATATTTTCCAATGATGAAACAATATAGAATGAGATGGTTGGCATTCAAATTTTGGTTTCTCGACTTAAATTTTAGTTTCATCCACAATGGTAACTTCTTGGAGACTATTTGCAACCTCAAGTTGGTGAGCGCTAACTACGTGAACTAATTGATCCAATTTAATGTCCACGTCTTGGATAGCTTCAACATTTTCATGAGCAACCACCTTCAAGTTTCCTAGTGCTAAGCTATTCCTCTCTTCATTTTTAAGGATTTGGTCTAGCATACGAAGCATTCTTTGTTCTTGAGCACAAAAAAACATTTCTTCTTGAGATTGACCAACTCCCAAGGTTGTTTCATATTCACTGTTTCTTCAAAGTTTTCATAATTTCGATACTTATTTTCTTCTTTCTTTATGCTCTTCTTGAAGGTAGGGAAATCTTTACTTTCTTGAAGCTGGAAAGGTTCGAACAATCTCTTCATTTCTTTAGCTTCATGGAAAAAAGAGGTAAAAATGACTTCTCAAGTATTGTGGAAGAATATAGGACACATTTTTTGGTTAACAAAAAATGTGTAATTAAAGGAGTTGGGGTCGGATTAAGAATAACAAAAGTTGTGAGTAATATTAAAATGTTCAAAAACCATACTCATTCAAATTATTTCAAATTTTCATTTCCCTCGTCTTTCTTCTTTCTTCTTTCTTCTTTTTCTCATTCTTCTTCATTACTTTCTTCTTTCTCTTCAATTTTGTTGATGCTGCAGGTAGTTGAGGTATGTCATCTTCTTGTTCTTCTTCATTTTCTTCTTGGTCTTTTTCCTCTTTCCCTCTTCATCTCATAATTTCATCTTCTTCTTCTTTTTTTCATTTTACCTTTGGTCTAAAATATACAAGAGAAATAGAAAAATATGAAATTTTACAAAGTGGGTATTTTGCAAAATACCCTCAAGAAATTTTGAGACATCCCCATACATGAGTGGGATGCTCGAAACATCTCCCCGTGATTTTTGAAACATATCCCGGGATGTTTGAAACATCCATCGGGATGTTTGAAACATCTCTCGAGATTTTTGAAACATCTCTCAAGTTGTTTGAAACATCAATCGGGATGCTTGAAACATCTCCCGGATTGTTTGAAACATCCATCAGGATGTTTGAAACAACCCCGTGACATTTGAAACATCCATCGGGATAAATGAAACATCTCACGGGATGTTTGAAACATCTCCCCTGAAGTTTGAAACATCCCCGGGATGTTTGAAACATCCATTGGGGTGGAGTAGGAGGGGGTGTTTTTGTAAATAAGAAAACTTTGGGGGTTTAAGAACTATGTCATTAACTCTAATCATAAAAGTGTCCCTTCTACCCCATTTTTAACACTATTGTCTTAAAAATTTATATAAGTCTTGAAGTGTCTTAAAAATTTAAATCCCCCTAGCTTCATTGCACCGATCAAATTCACCAACAAATGTAGAAAGATCATAATAAGATCTCGGGGAAGGCCAGGACATATAGTAATTCCAACTACTGAAATGGCCATTTTTACCACCATAAATATCATATATACCTGATCCCTTGGTATTTCTCTGACAGAAACACAAGTCAACGATACAGCTGGAAAGAAACTGCAGAAAGTAACTGTCTGCAACTGTACACACGACAGTGCATCAGTCACTTCCCATTGGGAAGAGGTGTGTACCAACCAAGAATTGACATCAACATTGGTATGTTATTGGTAGTATAACTACAAGGTGCAAGGCACCAGACATTTACTTGAGCATTTAGTGATATTCTCTCAAGCATTAAAGATCTGATCTAGCATTGAAGTCATTGGTGTGTCAAGAACAAGAAGACAACTCCACTAAGGATCAGTTCCACAATGAGTCTATGTGTGTCCGTAATTGAGTTTTAATCTTGTTGTTTATTCTTTATTGTAACTCCTATCTTGCTTTCTTAGAAGCCTTGTTTTAGCAAACTCAAAATCATAAACCTTGAGAGTTTGTGTTGTGACTAGAGTTAGTCATAAGTTAAAGTCTTTGTAACTAGTAGGTGATAAATTGGCTTGTGGTAAGTGTATCACAAGTTAGTTGAGTTAAAGTCTTTGTAACTAGTGAGTGACAAAGTGGCTTGTGGTAGATGCATCACAAGTTAGTTGAGTTGAAGTCTTTGTAATAGAGTCATTACAAAGTGTCTTGTAATAGTGTGATTAAGAGTTAGTGAAGTTGAAAGCCTACAAGTGTAGGTCGTGATATTCTTTCCCTTGAGTTAGGATTTTTCCACGTAAAAATCTCGTGTCTCATTTACTTACTGTTTCCTTAGTATTCTCAGAGGGAACCCATAGAGGACCGGGTACTCTATAGTTTGGTGGACTCATATAAACTAACAATTGTTATCAGAGCAGGTTCTTTCTGAAAGGTTAACACCTAGAAAGGATCTCAATGGCTGCTCCACCTAACTTTGAGGAAGGACAATCAACCTACAGACCCCCTAGATTCAATGGTCAGTATTACCGCTGGTGGAAGACTCGTATGCGTGACTTTATAATGGCAGAAGACTCAGAGCTATGGGACGTCATTTGTGATGGTCCACATGTTCCTATGAAGAAGCTCGGAGAAACTGGATCAATGGTGCGAAAAAAAAAAAAAGAGTACAGTGATATTGATAGAAAAACAGTAGAAAAGAACTATTGTGCCAAGAAAATCTTGGTATGTGGTATAGGACCTGATGAGTACAATAGAATCTCAGCTTGTGATTCTGCCAAGGAAATATGGGAAGCATTGCAAACCGCACATGAAGGAACTACTTAGGTTAAACAGTCCAAGATTTACATGCTCACCACCGAGTATGAGCTCTTCAGGATGAAGGATGATGAGTCTATACAAGATATGAACACTACATTCACATCCATCATAAATGAGCTTCATTCACTTGGAGATGTTATTTCCAGAAACAAGCTTGTAAGGAAGATTCTCAGTGCTTTACCTGGCTCTTGGGATAGTAAAGTGAATGCCATCACTAAAGCTAAACATTTACATACTCTAACCATGGATGAGCTGATTGGAAATCTGAAGTCAAACGAGAAGAAAAGAAAAAAAGACAGTGAAAGAAGAGAGCCAAAGAAGGAGAAGAACCTGGTTCTCAAGGCGGAAAACAGTGACTCAAGTGAAGAAGATAGTGATATGGTCTATCTTACTAAAAGGTTTCAAAAGATGGTTCGAATAAATGGTGGTATACCAAAAAGGGGAAGTTCAAGTAAGGCAAGGAACAATGATCTCGGTCACAAGTGCGGAAAGCCAGGGCAATTCATCAAAGACTGCCCACTTCTGAAATAGGAGCAATACAAATAAAACTCAGACAAGGCAGCAAAAAGGAACTCAGTTCCTAACAAACGATTCAATAAAAAAAGTGCAGCTGACAATGTTGTGAAGCAAGCTCTTGCTGCTTGGGGAGACTCCTCCAGTGAATCAGAAAGGGAACCAGATGTAGAAAACAGCTCCATGATGGCAGTGGAAACTGAAGCAACGAAATATGACTCATTGTTTGCGCTGATGGCTCAGTCTGACGATGATGAAGAGGACGAAAATGATGAGGTAAATTCCAGGGATGTTCAGAGAAATCTGAAGTCTTACTCTTCTAAGAAACTAATGTCATTAACAAATGTTCTAATTGATGCATATTATATTCTTATTAATGATAAGGATATCTTGACCATAGAGCTAGGAGATGCTGAACAATCTAGAGATGATCTGGTGGTCTGTGTAGTTGATCTAAATAAGACCATAGCTAAACTTGAAATTGAAAAGGAAGCTTTGAATGAAAAACTAAACAGTGTAGAAAATGAGAGAGATGACTTGATGGTTGTGGTTGTTGATTTGAAGGAAACCATAGAAAGCTTTAGCAATGAAAAGCACACTCTAGAAGAGAAAATTGCAGCTACTGAGCAAGAGAGGGATGACTTTTTGGTGATAATCACAGACCTAGAGGAAACTATTGAGGGAGTCAAATCAGAACTTAGGCCTGCAAGTATTGAGAAAGGGAAAGAAGTAGCTAGTGAGACTCACATCAAGCTTGAAAAGGAATTAAATAATGTTAAAACTAGTCTATGTAGTTTACTGGAGAAAAATAGGCAACTTCAAGCTGAATTGGAGAGAGTAAAAATTGACCTAGAAAAATCTCTTAAATGGAAATGGTCCTCAAAAGCTGTCACCGCTATGTACCTCAACAATAGTGGAAACAGACATGGAGTCGGGTTCCAAAAGGAAAAAATTCCTTACAACCCTCACAGCAAGTATGTCACTGTTCCTGATAACTGGCTTTGTACCCACTGTGAGAACAATGGGCATTTCAAAGAAAATTGCCAGGTCAGGGTTAAATTGGTTCAGAAAAACAAAATGTTTGTTGAAAAAATGACTACTAGCAGGGGACCCGATACCACTCGCAAAAAACGTATGTTGCCTGCATGGACTAAGAAAGCTCTTATCCACCCCTTTCCTCACTACAATGGACCCAAACTAGTTTGAGTTCCTAAATCTAAGCCATAATTTATATTTGCAGGGAATAGTGAGAGGAAGCGGACTGCAATGGATCATGGACAATGAATGCTCAAAACACATGACTGGAAACACCATGGATTTTCTCTCACTGAAAGCCCTGCAGGAGGGAATGTACCTTTTGGAAATAGAAAGAAGGCGTACATTCTTGGTATCGGGAAGAAAATAAGGTAGAAGTTCGCGTCTAAGTTGGTGATATTAGCTGCTTTAAGGCAGTTGTTAATGATGCAGAACTTTATCATAGAAAATTGGGTCATGCAAGCTTCTCACCTCTAAATAAATTGATTTGGAAGGACCTGGTTCGTGGTCTGCAAAATTCAAGATTTACCTGGTCACTGGTTCTTAGAACACAGGGTGAGACTTTCGAGGTGTTTGTGTCTTTGTCGAGAAGATCCACATGAAGATGGAATTGAAAATGGAATTACTCACAACTTCTCAGTACCAAGGACACAATGTGTGAAAGAAAGTGTTCATGTGCTATTCAATGAGACACCCTCCTCTAACAAGGGAGGAAACATTGATGTTCTAGAAAATGAAGCACTTTTGGTTCTAGGGGAAGTATCTGATGTTTCAAATAGCAAGGCTGATATGATGAGTCAAATGAAGGAGATAGGTGAAGACAATACAACATCCTCTTCCACTTCTCAAGAGGGACCTGGTACTCCAATTACTACCACTGAAGCTGTAGGAAGAGTTGGAGATGTATCGCAAGGTACTCCACAAGTAGTAGAACAAGGAGTGCAGAGAAATCCACTTAATTTACCCAGTTCCTCTAATAATCAAACTTCAGTCCTCAAAAGGAAACACAAAAGCTTCCATCCACTTGATAACATAATCACCCCCTTGAGGCTGGATTCAGACAAGATCAAAATCCAGAAATTCCCTAGTCCTCTCTGTATTTTTATTCCAGATAAAACCCAAGAATATCAAGGAAGACTTGAAGGATGCTGACTGGATTACAACAATGCAAGAGGAACTGCATCAATTTGAAAGAAACGATGTTATCTGATGGTCAAGAAGAGCACATCTGGAATGGCTCATTCTATTGGATCATGCTTAATCTCATGGCATACAAGGAAACACAACCTAGTGGTTCTCTCAACAGTTGACGCAGACGCTCTTAACGTGGAAAAGAACCCGGTCTAGCACAACAGAACCAAATACATTAATGTCAGATACCACTGTCTTAAAAATAATGTGGAAAAAGGGACTCATTTGTATGAGATTCTGCTGCACAGAACATCAAATTGCAGAGAACTCTTTGGAAGAAGTAGGATGGCAGTTGGGGTAATTAAACCTATGAGAGAACCTGGTTCTGCTCACATGATCATGAAACTCTCATTCAGGTAAAAGTGGTTAAAGTGTTTTCTGACTTGTCCTAACTCACATCTATACCGTTGCAAGTAAACACACATGACGATCACAGAAGCTAGAGGTACAATGTTGAACTGCGAAAGAGAGCTGCAAAAATCTTCCACAAAAACTGGTCAGGAACCATGTTTCTATACCACAGGTTAGTAGAAATGTGTTTTTTGCATGCTCTTTCAAAAAGTTGACAAAATTAATTCAACCGCCACATCATCGGACCTTTTCAGAGTCTACATGTCACATCTTATCATTCAAATCCTTTCACCTCCTCTGCATGTTACATATTCCCACAAACCTACCGCCATTCAAAATCCTTTAGAACCCGTTCCGCTTCCATCTCATTATTAGCTCCTCTTCCCATAAAACCCTCTCTCTCACAGCAGTCTTGAACCTTCATTTCCTCTATATCTCTGTGATTCCCTCTTTCCTTCTCTCACACTAAAATCTCTCTACCAAATCTCCCTACAACGGCCAATGAACTATCTCCTCCTTCTCTTTCTATCAACACCACTCCCACCTCTCTATCTTCTTCAACGACACCACCCAAAACCCACTCCTCCAGTATCCCCAATACTACAACACCTACACCTGTTTCCTCTTCATCTCCTATCATATTTCCTTCTCTGTCAAACTCTATCTCCGTTCCATGTGTTGAAAACCCCATTTCTCCCCCTTCTTCCGATCTCACCAGAGAACACTTAGAAAGTGTTACGCCTCACTTATAATAAGTCTCTGAGGATGATCCTGATCAATATTTGAACTCCTCCATTTTAGACTTAGTGACTCCATGTGGCTCCCATGGAGTCACCAGAGAAGGAAGCATCACACAATATCATGGCTATTGCTGCTGAGAGTCTTCTGAATAAAGGAGCCTTCCTTGTGTCTGAGTCTCAGGGGGAAGAAACTTCTTTTCTAGGGGATGAAAGAACTTTGGTACTCTTCGAGTCTCCAGTCCATGAAACAGTCAGAGAAAAACCTAGTGGAGAACCTGATTATCTTCCAGGTGAAACAACTCAGGAACTTCTTATTTACCCTAAGCCCTTGGAATCCATTCCACCCAGTGAGGTCCCTGTTAATGAAGATGATATGGTTCTCAGCACGCGGTTTAAGATGGGCAAATCAGCAGTGACTCCTGAATCCTCTTCCAAGCGTCCCACTACCAGGTTGTAGCAGAAAGAGGCTTTCGAGTATGCCTTAAAGAAAAGCAAGAGGAGTATCAAGAAAAAGAAGAAGAGGTTGATGAAACAAAGGGAGTTTGTGAATGACAAAAGTATTTCAATGGTTTAGGTTGATGAAGATGCTGTAGAGGAACCTAGTTCCTTAGTAAAAAGATCTACAAAAATCCAGAAGTCTGTGAGTGGAGCTTGCGATGAAGCTGTTGAAAATCAACATAGGTCATTTGTGAAGGTTAGTAGTAAGGCTAAGAAGGTTGTAGTAGAGCAAGATGTGTCTGAAAGAGATACTGTGGGGGTGGCAAGCCAGATAGGGAAATCTGTTGAAGGATCTAGAAAACGAAAAAGGGAAACCGTGGGTTGACCTAGTTCCACTAGTACCATACCCAGTGAGAATGGTCTTTGGCAAGAGAAATTGAGAGCTCAGAAAGTCTTGTGGGGTCGTATGTTTTACCCAGCCATCTCAGAAATGGCAGGTATGAGGCAAGTCCTAGAGATGGTGGAATTTCAGCAGTGGGAGCATCTATTTCAATAGGATGTACCTAAGGTGTATGAAGATGCTGTCGCGCCCCCTTTTTCCCTCTTTGCATCGGGAAATCGGGTTTATGACATTTTGGGCATAGGACAACTTATTCCTTTTGGGAACTGGGTTTCGCATTTGAAGAGTCGCCACCTAATAATTTAGGGTGAATTAGGACACCTATAAGGTTCAACTACAACTATATTTTGATAACCAGAAATAGGGTAAGGGCTTGAAATTATCCCAAGGGGAAGGTGTTGGGAACCCCTTAGGATCCACTAGTGTGGTTCCCGGCCAGATAGTTCTTTGTGAATTTGTGCAATTAGCAAGTAAACAGATAAGACTCAAATAAGAGGGGATTTTGAATACATAAATAAAACGAAGTTTTTGAAAGAGTTATAACTAAACATGCTGACGAATACAAGAAGGGTCCTAGGTTTATTTGTAATATGGATCACACCAATGCAATACCCAGTAATCACTCCTCTAAAGAGGGGTTACACGTGGTATTAGCGCATTGGTCATCATATCCATATCTACCCTTCCCACCCCGTTAAGGTATTAAAGCGCGGATTGGTCTCGACCTCTATTGCATGCTATTACCCGTCCCATTCCTATCAGTCCTGGAGGAATTTAGGACTACTATTCCTGTAAGAAGGAGGTTCTAAGCTGACTCTTAGGTGTAAAGGTAAAAGGCTAAGGCGACATACAAAAAACACGTTGGACTGCATTTAAAGGGGAAACATTTGAACAACAAAGAGGCTCAGATATACCTCCTCAAATTGAACACATAAATAGCATGACTTAAAACACATTTAAGGTCAGAATTTAAAATACTGAGACAGGGGAGTTTTAGTTGTTGAAGCAAACCACTTTATTACATAACTCAGATAAGAAATCCGAATCAGGCCTGCCTGCTGGTTATAGCAATTACTGATTAACAAAGGCGGGTTCAGTCTTTATTGTTATTACCTAAGGCTTGCCTAAGTGTTTGGGTGAGATCCTATAAATATGATATCTATTACCGATTTGAAAATGGCAAAGCAGTAACAGTTCTAAAATAAATGATTTGAGATCCTATAGACATGCTTTCTAAACCGTATTAAGAAGAGTTAGTTCAGAACAGTATGAGTCAAACTGATTTTAAACTAGACTAACTTCAGTTCCTATAGGCATGATCTCTACTATTGCTGATTTTTAATTCCTATAGACATGATATCTAGTCAAACGTGAAATGAAGCAGGCATGATTTACTTGAGATTCCTATAGGCATGATTTCTATGGAGAAATACTGATTTTAACCTTATGAGCATGATGTCTGATTGTAACCATTTAGATCCTAGGAGCATGGTGTCTAAGTGTGGTAATAAAGATGCAGAATTTGGGACAAATCCTATAGGCATGTTATCCAAATGCAGAATTAAACATACAGAAAACAAGTCATATAGGCATGTTCTCTACCCTTCTAATAGTTAAACATGCATAATTACCCAGCCCTTTTCACTAACCAACCCCAATGTTTATTACAAATTATTACAGACCAAGTACCGAATTACATCAGAAAAGTGTGAAAATAAGAAGTTACAACAATAGGAAGCCTGATTCTGACTTCCTCTCTGAATTATGGAACAAATCACCTCAAATGCCACTTGTTTCAAAGCCTTTCTCAGACCTGGGTGTGTCAAAGTTCCCTAAGGGTCTCAAGGGACCCCGGGCAGTGCTTACACACAAGTTTGCATAACCAGATAGAGATGAGTGTAGTGTGGGAGGGCCAACCCTTATGTGTCCAAGTTCAAGGGGAGCTCATGGGTCCCAAGGCAAGGCTCACACAAGAGGGGCAGAACCTAAGTCTAAGAGTATAGTGGAAGTGCAAAAATAGGGATTTGTTCAAAACTGAGTTGAGAATAGAGAGGGGTAAGGGTGATTGGAAGTAGTACAGCTAACATTACACAGAATCAACACTTTCATACAAAGGGGTTAGGGGTTTGGGAATTCATTGCAGGGAGTATATGACCTTAGGAAGGGGCCAAGCTTGGGCATGCACAACAATAGATGGTGCTAGCATGCCCATATATCAGCCAGAGAACACAACACATAGAGGGGATGTGAAGCATGTAACCCTAAGGAGGGGTCAACTTTGGGGTCATGCACAGCAATGTCTAATGCTGACATGCCCCCAAACCAACCAAGGAATACAAACACATAGGGGATATGGGGGTTTGGGGTTCATAAGTCATAATAAGTGACTGACAGAGTTCATACATAAGAAAACATTAATTCAGAAGAGAAAGGGGCAAATTACAGTATGCTCTGTATTGGAACTTGATTAAACACAAGCAGGAAACAGGCAAGAGTGAAGGAAATAGTAAGGAAACATGTTGTTGTTGATGCTGGAAAATTAATTAGAACATACCAGTAAAGAAGCAAATGCAGAAAGAAAAGTAAGCAACTTCCCCACAGCCTAGCCTTGGCTTTCAGCCAGCTAGACAAGGCAGCAACAGAAGTAGTAACAGAGAAAAGAGAGAGTTTTAGTGAGGTGTGTGTTCTGAACTCAAGTGTTCGTTCCTTGTGTTCGTGTGTCTGAAAGAAGAGGGATGCAGGGTATTTATAGCCTTTTGAAAACGAGTGAAGGAGAGGTAATAAGTAAATTTTTAGTACAAATATGGAAACAATCAACAGTCAGAATCAATTATACAAGTGATTCCCTTTAATTAAGGAATCACTGTCCAACATATTCAAATAAGGAAAGAGATCAGTTTAGAGACGGACTGATTATTGTCATAAAAGAAGTAGTACAAGCATTAAGTAAGTAATCAAGTCTAAGTACAGAAATATACTTATTTTGGAAAAGATTCAGTAAGGCAAAGTATCATAGTAAAGGGGAAAGAATC